TGAGAGTTACCTTTTGGGTGTGTAGAAGTAAAGTAGCCGTCTAGACTCATCACTTACTTGTCTGAAGTTGCACCAGCCGAATTTGCAGTCACAAACAATGGATATCTCTCCACTCTACATCCTGAAATTACACAAAACCAGAGTGTTATACAGTGCTTATCGAGTGTCTATGTTCAATAACGCCTTACTAAGGTTTGATGCAATCGTCTATTCCTTACTCAAGGTGGAGAAAGTACCTCTGAGCATAATTATCTTATTATCTTAGTAAACAACAGATACGTGTTTGTTATTTTTGTTGTTTACTTTTTGTTTTGTATTGTAGCACATGCCCCTTGTTGTATTTTGAGGGCATGCGCAGTTGCAAGGAAAAGAGATCGAAAGTGATTGCAAACGCATGACCTATATTCTAGTTGTGTTAACGTCTCATTTCGAGTTTAAGCGGAACACTACAGTGTGACAGTCTCATTCGAAGAAAAAAACAAATAAAAAGGCAGATTAAGTAACTGACAGAATGACCGATAGAGCTAAGCTTTAACTGCAGTTAATGTACTAACAGTGACATAACAAACAAAATTACCATAGGCAATGGGCGTAAGTTTGAATACCGTGTGAAATGGTATACTAAGATTTGGAAGTTCTCCTGCAGAAAAAAGAAAATTCGATATAAGTTCTATTTTATTCCAAGTATAAAATCAGTTTATAGTGACAGAATCTCGATTTGCTCTTTGAAGCACGCCACACAATTTGCTTCTTAAGTAAGTCTGGTAATTTAACATTATGATTACGTTACAGTACGTGTTAATCAAGCCCCAAATTTCAGAACATGTAACTCCTTCAGACCCTCCCAAAAGAACAAACATTTGCAGTTCTGTATATTAAATTTGATTCTAGCAACTAACCTGAACTGTGGTCCAAAAAGTATGCCATGAGACACTGCAAGATAGCCTACACGAAGAAAAGAGTAGAGAGAGCCGATTTTAATTTCAACAGAGGAGGAAAGACTTGGCCATGAGTATGCACCTGGAGAGGGAGGTGCAGTGGCCTCATTGTTGCTAAGCTCGCCTCTAGATCGAGAGCTCCGGGTTCGAGCCCTGGTCGCGGACACTTTACTCTTAAAGTGCCTCTCTCCCCCCAGGTGTATAAATGGGTACCAGCGAATTTAATGCTGGGGGTAGCCCTGCGATGGACTAACATCCCCTCCAGGAGGGACTAGAAATATTCCTAGTCGCTTCATGCTACAGAAACCG